GATGATCAAGTCAAGGTTTGTAAAGTGTCGATATGTCAGATCAATCAAACAAGTCAGTCAACCATTATATTGTGACTAGTGATGGCACGGTTTGAATATCAACAAGTTAGACAGTCGACAATATGTGATAACTGCTATGCGTATGCGTATGGGTGATTGTGATTTGGTCAAACCGCAGCACTTGCATAGCACTGAACTGGTTTGATGTGCGTGATGTGTGTGGTGTAAGCAGTATGCATAAACTCGTTGATATCATGGACTATAACCAATATACACCACACATATACAGTGGTAAACACCAACGTGTGGTGTATCCAGTGATCGTATACTAGTTGATTGGTGCAATATGATCATGCCACATACTATTGTATTGGTGACAATGTGTTGTTGAACAGGCGAGATCTCGAGTGTTTGCAACATAAATGGAGTGGATGTACAACATTGCTTGTGTACCATCATGTAATGATATCACCTGGAATGTGCTATGTAACGGCATCATAGTGCGGCAATATACTCTGGTCACCAATCTTGATATCGGGTGCCAAATTAAGCAATGGGCGATTGTATAAAGGGAGGCCTTTTAAAGTTACCTTGACATTCATAGCAGTAAATTAATGCAAACCTCCAATGACACAGATTCCTTAGAGCGGCCATTCAAGGAATATGCTTTTAATATTATCAATCTAATAATGAGTATAAATACAATCCGAAACCGACGTGTTGAATGACATTCATTACAACTTGCCTAACCAAATCAGTAAAATGAAACTATCAATTGCCGTACTGTCATCAATCCTTGCTGTCTGCTCAGTTACTACAGCTGGTCCAGTTTACCCCAGTTCGGCCACAAATGCTGGAGCTAGCACTTCAGCTGGTGGATCTGACTCTCCAGAATTTCCTACAGAAGATGGGCTTATGAAATATTGCAGTCCATTCGGTACTACCCAAGTGTCGTTGATCGAAGAAATTGCAAAAACTCGGGCTAGAATTGAAAAAATGGTGGACAGATTTGAAGGCATACGTCATAACACCAGTATTCAAAGAAAAGTGGTTCTTGAAACGGTGCAAAAATTCGAGTCTCTGAAACAAACTCCGGGTCAGTTGTTGGATAATGCTGAAGCTGAGTATAATCTGCATCAAAAAAAACTTGAAAAACTTGAAGAAGATTTGGAGGACCGTGTTAGGATAGCTTGGAGTAGGATTCATCAAGAAAAGGAGCTCAAGAAAACGCTTATACATAACTTGGCGACTAGAACATTGATGGCTAGTGATTCCTTACTGGGAACAGTTCCCGGATATACTCAATGCTTCCATTATTTCTTTAATCATTTTATAGAAGAATTGTCATAATCCGAGCATGATGCAACTTTTCAATCAGACTCGTCACATTGCTGCAGTTCAAAGTGGACCATCAACAGTTTCATCTAGAATATACTATAATGCAGCGTGTATTGCATGTTGGTTTACTTGTCATTTGTCATGCATCCAATTCCATTCATTCAATAAACATCGTGTA